GTTCTGCTCAGATTTCCCTGAACCAGCACCTCCCGTGGTCCAGTGCTAAGTATCCAGCAGGCACTGAAGAAACCCCTTGGCTCTTACCAAAGCTCTCCCAGCTAAGACAAGTCCGAGCTTCTCAAACATTAAGGTGCATCTGAAACACCTGGAGAACTTGTCCACATGCAGATTCCTGGGCTCCACCCCTAGAGATTTGGCTTCAGGAGGTCTAGAGTGGGGCCCAAGAAGGTGCATCTCTAACAAGCTCCCAGGTAAGGCTGGTGCTGCCGGCCCACCGACCACCTCTGCGGAAGGTGCTCTCCCCGGGACCTTCCATGCACTCTCCCCTCCCCACCCCATGCACCTGAGCCTCTGCCCAGCCTGGTCCTGCCCAGAAACCCTTGCTGCCACGTCTGCCACTGGGACCCTTGCTCTCACGTCAGATCCTGGGACCCTTCCAGCTCAGGATACAGTTAAGAGGTTGGGCTGCTGTTTAAAGGAAAAGCCTTACTGGAATTTGAGAATTTGAGCTTCTGATGAGTCCAAAGCTTTGCAGGGAGATTGATAAAAACACAGGTCTTGGGGCCCCACCCCCAGAGGCAGAACCCTTGTAAGATATGTCTGCAGTCATCCCTCAAAATACAAATGTGGAAACTGAGGCCCAGAGAGGGGTTATGAGTTGCCCAAGGGCACACAGCAAGTTAGAGCAAAGACAAGGCAAAACCCTGGTCCCCAGCATCACCGTGAGGTCCCCTTTTCTGGACCTAAGGAAACCCTCCTCTGGCCCTCCCTCTGCCCCACTTTCCTGGGACCCCAGCTGGGCCCTGGCTTTTCCATCCAGTGCTGAAACGAAGCCTCAGGAGACTAAAACTTGCAAGAAGGAGAAGAGTGGGGAAAGAGTCAAGGGAACAAGGGAAAGATGAGGAAACTTTAGCAGGCTGCTGGGGTGGGGACGCGAGTAGGGGAAGGCCGCCAAGGCTGTCCGGGGAGCTGGGGGCGGGGCTTCTCAGGGCACACGTGTACCCTCCACCCTCCACCCTGACCCGCTCAGGGCCAGCAGGCGGCAACTCCGGAAACCACAAACCCTCGGTACCCCCAAAGGACCGGGCCCTGGCCCCTGCTGCAAGGGCCACAGGCTTCAGCCCAGGAGGGGTGGGTTAGCCAGTTTGTTAGTGGTTAGTGGAGCTGCCACTCCTGGGCACAGAGTGTCTGCTGACAGCCCCCGTCCAGCCTGGCCACAGCCTCTGCTGTGCACAGGCCTGGGGCTGGCGTGGGCCTCAAGTTGGCCCGCTGTCCTCCCAGACCTGCTCCGGCGGCCCTAGGACCCTGCAGAATGCAGATTAGAGTCACAGCTAGGAGCTGCCCAACACAGTCTGCCCAGTGGGGGCGGGGCTCCTGGAATCCTAATTGCAGCCTGAATTGGAGTGCCCCCACCCCCATGTCACCTGGAGAAAAGCTGGACCCACTTCCTGACAACTTCATCCTGCAGCCACCAGTCTTCCACCCGGTAAGCAGCCCTCTGACTTGGAGCCTCCTGGAGCTTGGGGCTTGTCCCTTCCAGCTGGGCTCACACTCCCAGCTGGTGGGGAGGAGAGGACCTCCGTCTTGGGGCCCGCTTGCCCTTGCACCTCCCTGTGGACTCTAGAAGTCCCTCCTGAACTTGGCAAGGTGGTTTACCAGCTAATTCCCACCGGGGTGTGAATGACTGCTGGGCTGTCAAGGTCCTTGCAGTTCGAAGGCAGAGAGCTGGTGAGGCAGTGCTGTGCCCCTAAAGTGGCTTCTTGGAGGTGGGGGGCATGGGAAGTATTATTGGGGAGTCAAGGGGACAATGGTTACCCGGGAGGGGCAGTCTCATCTCCAGCTTTCAAGGGAGGGCTACGTCAGAACCTCCAACTCAGGGACGCAAGGGGTTACCTCTGTCTCTCTGCTCAGTTCGGGGGCCGATTTGCAGAAGGCTGAACTCCCGGAAGGACCCCTCTCCCACAGGGCTGTGACTGCACTGAGGCACACTAACTGTCACTTTGTCCTGACTTGGACCTCTGTCCCAGGAGAGCTACAGCAGCTCAGTTAATTACAGGCCAGGCCTGGAGCTGGGAAGTGGGCAGCTCTGACAGGTAGGGTCCAGGCCCCTTGCAGCCCCCCAGCTGTCACCTATGGGGTGAGGTAGCTGCACAGGTGACAGTGGCTCCTTGCTTTAGGCTGAGAGCTTCCACCAGGACGGCAGTGCTGGTGGGTCGGTCCTTCCTCTTTCAAGGTGGTTTGGGCTTCTGAAGGCTGCTGGGAGTTGGAGGACACGAGAGGGCCTATCTGGCGACAGTGTCTCACATGCTTCTGCTGTGCTGTTCACACGTGTCCCTCAAACATCTATTCAGAGCCCCTCTGCGTCAGGCTGGGCACTAAGCCTACGGAAAAGCAAGAAGGGCTTTGGCTCTGAGGCACTGTGGCCTCCCAGGGTGAGAGCCAGCCAGCCACACGTCTCCCTCTGTCACTGGGCCAAAGACCAAGCCAGCCAGGTGAGCCTGGGAGCACAATAGAGGGGCTGGGAGAGGGAGAATTCAGGTACCAGAGTGGCTGATGCTTGGAGAAGACATCAGGGAAGGTGGCAGGAGTCGTAAAAGACCAGGAGGACCATGAAGTGGAAGGAGAAAGGCACTGGAACAGGAAGGTGTCGTGAGAGTGTGCAGTGTGTTTCAGGAATGTTAGCAGCTGCTACGTGGAGAAAGGTGAGTCCTTAGTCAGGGGCCACTATTATGGATTGCTCCAAGTGTCCCTATCAGGGTCAACTCTTAGTTCTCAATTGTCCATCCTCTGTCTCCTAGTTCCCAGTCTCTGACCATTAGACAGTCTTCAGGAAGCCATGGTATCAGGCTTCTGGGAGCCAGGATGGCACCCAGTGAATGGAGAACAGCACAGGGGACACAGCAGCCTACCCAGCCCTGGAAGCCAGGGGTGGGCGCTGAGCTGGTTCTTCAAGGGGACTGTGGAGTTGAATGTGGCTTCCCCAGTGCAAGGTAGCTTTGAAGACGGGTGGTCCAAAAGGGGGAGTAGGTGGGAGAGAACATGTCAGAGAAAAATCATTTCTCCCCATAAGGACACTTTCTATTCTGGCAAAGTGTTAAGTGTTCTTATTCTTCTGCACCTCCTCCCCTCCCCAAGCTGGCATGGGGCCCCTGAGCCCTTTTTCTCCAACCCAGCATGGATGGCGTTTCTCTCCTTGTTTAGATTGTTCCTTATGTCACGACAATTTTTGGTGGCCTGCACACAGGCAAGATGGTCATGCTACAGGGAGTAGTACCCCAAAATGCACGCAGGTAAGGGGTGTGGCCCATGGGGATGATGGAGCGCAACTCTAGGGGCTCCAAATTGGGGATGCTCTGTGCCTTCAGGGTCACCCTGGTGATAGGGAGGGTCTCCAACCAGAGTCGCCATTTGAGAACCTCATCTCCCACCAGGTTCCAGGTGGACTTCCAGTGCGGCTGCAGCCTAGAGCCCCGGCCAGATATCGCCATCCACTTCAACCCTCGCTTCCACACCATCAAGCCCCACGTCATCTGCAACACCTTGCGTGGTGGGCACTGGCAAGCAGAAGCCCGGTGGCCTGGCCTGGCCCTGCAGAGAGGGGCCAGCTTCCTCATCCTCTTCCTCTTTGGGAATGAGGCGGTGAAGGTGAATGGAAGGAATGGACATCGAGTTGATCTAACACTTGTGTCCTTCCGCCCCTCCCTTCCCTCAGCCAAATTTCCAAGTCACTGTGTTGAGTGGCATTGGTGACAAGGGGTGGGGACTGAGAGTTCTTGCCAAGAAGAGCTCCTAGGAACTTCCAAGCCCAGTTCCAAGCTTCCCTGGAGCACATGGCCTGGGACACATCATTGTAAGAAAGCGCTACCCGTATCTGGCCTGAGAGCACATCACAGCCATAGTCTTAGCAAGCACTCAGAAAAAAATACCAGTCGTCTTCAAGTTGATTCCAACTCATGGCAACCACATGCGTGCTCGCTACATGCCAGGCGCTGGTCTAAGCTTTTTAAATATATTAGCTCATTTAATCCTCACAACAGCTCCAGGAGGTGAACACTATCATTATCTCCATGTTATGGCTGAGGGGGCAGGGGAGAGAAGGACTTGACCTCAAAGCTTTGACTTCTGATGTGAACTCCTGCTAGAAAGAAAGATGGTGGGACCTCCAGACTTCTCCAGTGCAGAAGGCAACTGGTGTGAGCCAGCCAGCTGTGGGTGGGGCAGCTGGGGTTGTGTTGTGGGATACAGGGTGATCACACAACCTCCTGAGCCTCCGTTTCCTCACCTGGAGTTGGGGATGCTGCTGCTGCTTGTAGGTCTGCTAAGAAGGTGAAGTGAGGGACTGCACAGAGAAGTGCTATGTCAAGGGCAGAGAGAGGCACTGAAAGGGGCCTGATTCCAAGGCCAGCTCTGCTGTCTCCCACTTCTGCAACCTTGGGAAGGTGACCTAAGCTCCTAAGCCTCAGGCACTTCATCTGTAAAATGTACCTACCTCATACATAGAGTTTTTGCGACATTCAATGATAAAACTTTAGGTAGAAGTACTTACCAGTGCTTGGCAGTTTATTATGAACTCAATGAATGTTAATGCAACTGAGCCAGCCTCTGTCCCTCTCCCCAGGTGAGCGTGAATGGACAGCACTTTCTCCACTATACCTACCGGCTCCCACTGTCCCGGGTGGACACACTGGGCATATTCGGTGACATCTTGGTGAAGGCTGTTGGGTTCCTGAACATCAATGTAAGTTTCTCTGGTACCAAAGCCTGTGCGGCAGCAGCTTCTGATGTCCTCTGATACCTAGACATGCCTGGGCATCTCCTCCTCTGCCCTCAACCAAGAAGCAGATAAGGGAGAGGGAATCATAGAGGTGTCAGATGTGAGTAGGGACAGGGGGAGAAGGTGATGACGGAGAGGGGGTCCAGAAGTCTGTACAGGTGTGGAGTCTGGTTAATACTGAAATGCAATGAATGGTCAGGAAGGGAGTGGCCAGAGCAATGAGGCCAAAACAGACTGCAGCCAGCTAGTCACTCCCACCTGAGGAATTTATTAAAAATGCAGATGCCCATCAACATAATCCACCATAAATCAAACAAAAGAAGCACGTGATCATCTCAATTGACCCAGAAAAGGCATCTGATAAAGTCCAAAACCCATTCCTGATTAAAAAAAAAAAAAAAATAGGAATACAAAGGAAATTCCTCAACATAATAAAGAGCATACATGGTGACATAGTGCCTAAGGCATTTGACTGCTAACCAGAAGGCTGGTGGTTCAAACCCACCAGCCACTCCTCAGGAGGAAGATTAGGCAATCCACTTCTGTAGAGATATTGCCTCAGAAACCCAAGGAGGGGTCGCTATAGTTGGGATCAACTCGATGGCAGTGAGTTTGGTTTTTTTTTTTTGGTTATGCAAAACCAACAGCAAACATTATTCTCAACAGAGACTGAAATCTGATAAAACAGGAACCAGACAAGGATGCCCTCTCTTATTCAATATTGTACTGGAATTTCTTGCTACAGAAGTAAGGCAAGAAAAGGAAATAAAGAGCATCCAAATTGGTAAGGAGGAAGTAAAACTATCCCTATTTGCAGATGATATGATCCCAAAGATTCCATGAGAAACATATAGGAACTAATAGAAGGGTTCAGCAAAGTAACAGGATACAAGATCAACACACAAAACTTAGTTGGATTCCTCTACACCAACAAAAAGAACTGTGAAAAGGAAATCAGGAAAACAATACCATTTATAATAGCTACCAAAAAGATAAAATATTTAGTAATAAATCTAAGCAAGGACATTAAGTATCTACAAAAAGAAAACTACAAAAACTACAGCAAGAAAAAACCAAGAGACCTAAACAAATGGAGAAACATTCTACGCTCCTGGATAGGAAGACTTAATATTGTGAACATGACAATACAACTAAAAGCAATCTGTAGGTATAATGCAATCCTGATCTGAATTCCAACAGCAATCTTTAACAAGATGAAAAAACTAATCACCAGCTTTATATGGAAAGGAAAGAGGCCTCACATAAGCAAAGCATTATTGAAGAAGAGCAAAGTTGTAGGCCTCACACCTGATTTCAGAACCTACTACACAGCCACAGTAGTCAAAATGGTTGGCACAACAGACACATAGACCAGTGGAACATAATTGAGAATCCAGACACAAATCCATCCATCTATGGACAGCTGATCTCTGACAAAGCCCATTAAATGAGGACGAGACAGTCTCTTGAACAAATGTCGTTGTTGGGTACCATCCAGTCAGTTCTGACTCATAGTGACCCCCGTGTACAACAAAACACTGCCCAGTCCTGTACCATTCTCATAATCGCTGCTCTGCGTGAGCCCATCTTTGCAACCATTGTGTCAGTCTGTCTCCTTGAGGGTCTTCCCCTTTTTCACTCACTCTCTACTTTGCCCAGCATGATATCCTTCTCCAGGGACTGGTCCCTTCTGATAACATGATCAAAGTATGAGAGACCAAGTCTTGCCATTCTCGCTTCTAAAGAGCATTCCGGCTGCACTTCATCCAAACCAGATTTGTTCTTTCTTCTAGCAGTCCATGGTGGTACATTCAGTATTCTTCGCCAACACCATGATTCACAGGCATCAATTCTTCTGTGGTCTTCATTATTTATTGTCCAGCTTTCAAATGCATATGAGGCCACAGAAAAGAACATGGCTTGAGTCAGGCACCCTTTAGTCTTCAAAGTGACATCTTTGCTCTTCAACACTTTAAAGAGGTCTTTTGCAGCAGAGTTGCCCAATGCATCATTTGATTTCTTGACTGCTGCTTCCACAGGCACTGATTATGGATCCAAGTAAAATGAACTCCCTGGCAACTGCAAACATTTCTCCATTTATCAAGATGTCTCTTATTGATTCAGTTGTGAGGACTTTTGTTTTATTTTCCAGTGTAATCCATATTGAAGGCTGTAGTCTTTAATCTTCAACAATCAGTGCTTCAAGTCAGCAAGCAAAGTTGTATCATCTGCATATTACGGTTGTTAATGACTCTTCCTCCAATCCTGATGCCTCGTTCTTCTTCATATAATCCAGTTTCTTATTTGCTCAGCATACAGACTGAATAAGTATGGTGAAAGGATACAACCCTTATGCACACTTTTTCTGATTTTAAACCATGCAGTACCCCCTTGTTCTGTTTGAACAACTGTCTTTTGGTATATGTACAGGTTCCTCATGAGCACAATTAAGTGTCTGGAATTCCCATTCTTCACAATGTTATCCATAATTTATTATCATCCACACAGTTAAATGCCTTTGCATAGACAATAAAACACAGATAAACATTTTTCTGGTATCCTTTGCTTTCAGCCAAGACCCATCTGACATCAGCAATGAGAGCCATCATTCCATGTCCTCTTCTGGCAGTTAGCACCCTGTCGATGTACTGCTGCAACCATTTTTGAATTATCTTCAGCAAAATTTTACTTGTGTGTGATATTAATGATATGTTTCAATAATATCCACATTATGTTGGATCACATTTCTTTGGAATGGGCACAATTATGGGTCTCTTCCAGTCAGTTGGCCAGGTAGCTGTCTTCCAGATTTCTTGGCATAAACAAGTGAGCACCTCCAGCACTGCCTCCATTTGTTGAAACATCTCAATGGGTATTCCGTCATTTCTCTCAGTACAGCTTGGCCTTCTTTCTTCAATACCATTGGTTCTTGATATGCTCCCTCCTGAAATAGATGAACATTGACCAGCTCTTTTTGGTACAGTGACTCTGTATATTCCTCCCATCTTCTTTTAATGCTTCCTGCATCATTCAATATTTTGCCCATAGAGTCCATCAGTATTGCAGCTCGAGGCTTGAATTTTTTCTTCAGTTCTTTCA